TTAATTGTTAACAACAGCTAACCCAAACCTACACAAATGTCCAAGATTTATTTTTAAATACATGATGTTAGGTTTCGACGCTATTTATCAAAGACAGGATAATTTTATGTAAACGTGTTTAACCTGCTTGGCAGAAAGATTAAGTGACAACAATATGAAGGGAAAACGTTGTCAAGAAATATGACATTTAAAAGTCGATCGTGAAGAGTGAGGAAGAACGAAGTGTGAAGTGTAGATGTTTTTTTACGGGTAAAAATATATGCATAGTTACAAATAACATAATATAGTAGAAGGTACAAATGACGTATACACGTAATCCATTCTCGTGATAAAATAATAGTCAATTGCTAATTTATAAATAAATAAGTCCTGCCTAATACATTCGTCACATAATGCGAGTTACATTAGCGATCAGGTGAATATTTGTTAAACAAAATCATAATATGTACATTAGCGTCATATATTATGATTGGAGACTAAAATAATGTAACCATATAGCACATAAAATGAAATATGAGGCGCATGTTAATTTTGTAGATTCCTTTCGAAACTAAAGACTAGAAGAGTATATCTCTTCCAGATTCCGTGGTTCAATATGATGAACTCACCAGGTGGCACAGTTCATATAAAGATGTAAGTATCCCGGGGGGCATCGTTCAGAAAATTCGCTTCAAGCTCAAATAACTTAGATCACGTACAGTATTATAATTATTCTAATTTATACTGTTAAGTGGCAATTCGTATTATATGATCTCCAACTGTACTACGAATGCCAAAGTATCAAATGTATGAGTTACGAAGATTATATTTGAATATTGTTTTTAAATCAGCTACTTAGCAACTGGGGTGACATTTGCATAATACACATACAAGTATCTATGTATATGTATATGTCTGATTGTCACAGGATACTATTAAACATTTCATAAATAAACTGGTTCTTAATGGAAAATGGTTCATCATTATGAAGTTTCTGAATTCTAGATTGCAGATTTACGATTATACCTTAGAACTGTTTGTATATATTATTAGATCGTTTTTTTTTTTATTAAAGAAATTCCTGTGTACAATGTCTCTGCATTTAAAGCGGCGCAGTGTTTGAAATATCGCGGTGTATACGCGCGATCGACAACTGTGGCGCTATAGACGACAATCACCGTTATATCCCAATATAAAACGAGTTCTCGTGCGCACTTGGCACCCTATTGGGAGATCGCACGTAACTAACACAATCATATTAGCGATCAATGTGAACGTCAGTAACACGCGACACATGCACTTTAACGAGTTCAAGAGAATTCTGTTTTTAGCAAAGTGACCGAATACTTGACACTGTCAATGGATCTTTTAGTAGAATGCTGAATACTTAAATGAGGTTTAAGTAGTAGACATTGCTCGTCAATTATGAACACGTTGTTTCGTGTTTATGCCAGAATTCCGGCCGTGATGCACCGGTTACACCAAATACAGTCAGTAATAAGTAATTCTGAGATATTCAACAATTAATAACTACGTCACGAAAAAGCAATTTGAAAGCAAGAATACTTACTTTCCACTCACAAGAAGCGATAAACGGTTGCACGGAGTCTGCCCTTCAATGGCATAGTTCTCTCCGATCGTGAGGGAAGCTGTCCGGCCGATATTACACAGTTTCTTGTAAGAATGACGTGGCACTTTTAGTGGTTTGAAGACTGCTTCGTAAACGTCCTTCTGCTCTTGTGTCAGACGCACGGGTCTGATCCGATAGAACAGATACGACGCATTGGCACAGTTGAGACATAGATATGCAAGACTCCAGGCGAAAATACCGAGTGAGCAGATATAAAACCATCCCCAGACAGCTAGAAGTAGAAACGCGATGGCTATGACTACGTGGAAAAACAGCAAAGAACTATACCCGTGTGGAGGTGAAAGAAATGCCACCAGAAGAAGAAAGTTTGCTGCTTGATAAATTACATGTTGCATAGATTCCCATTCAGAGCAGGCGTAGGCCGATCCTTCCGGAGGGGGGTTCGCGGTCCAGTCCGGACCGACGGTTGTAAAGTTGTCCATCATAGCAAGTCCTATGGTACTCATCTTTGCTGGTGTGTACACGTCACCTTCTTGAAGACTTTCCTAGACGTTGCATTGGCAACCATGTTCAATTATTTCCTACAAAATAAATCGTAATATGTAATGTTAGATATTCCTTCTAGTGAAATTCAGTATTGGTATCAACGTCACTAGACGGCAGAACACAGATTAATGTGCCTTCAGAAACATATGGGTCAGAAGAAGGATCAATTAAGTTAATGACAGAGTACAATTGTTATATTATAGGGATATATTATTATCGTGCGCATAATGGGATTATATATTATGCATAAAGTCTTACAGAAATGGGCAAACGTCCCCTGGTTTCTACGTTACAGTGAGTGCCTGCAACTGAAGAAAAACACGTCTTCCATATGATACGAACATATCGTAAATTTGTATGCATACAATGCATAACGCAAATGCTCGGCACAAAACTGAAGATAGTATGTTAACATATCATCTGATCGGAAGGGTATCAATGTCGAACAACTTGTTAAGCTAAATAAGCAACCAGGAAACCGGAAGCTCCGCTATTCCGGGTACTTGTTTTGACTTAGATGTATTTGTGTAGAGGTCTGATGGCGCTTTCAAAACACATGTTACTTATCAAACTAATGATACACTTTAAGTTTCTCTTATGTAACAAATCGTCACATTCTCATAATTTATCTATATATCATTCTTCATCTGATAATTCCCAGGAATACATTAATATACAAGAGTTTTTTTTTAGTTCAGTAGCGTAGTGGTACAGTATAAATGTGTATATATGTGGTACATATAATACCAAAATATCATATTTAGAAGATATTCATTCAATTCTGCACTGATTTTGTGCTTTTTTGCAATGGGGTAAGCTGAAAAGTTGCATAGCATTTATGACGCAATGCGTAATATTTGCGCGAGCGTCGACCTTCATACAATTGTATCAGATGAGGTATACCATTAAAAGACGTAATCTTACCGTCACCAACACCCTCAACATATAATACTTGCACAAAGCACACAAATATTCAATCACGTGATTTCGATGGTGTGGTATATACAGCATATCGTAATCAACACACCACACTTAAAATGTTTTTTAATGTGTTTCCAAGAGTTAGTCAAATCCATGTACTTACAATTTGTCACAACTGTTCACTGAACACAGTGTTTCTGAATTACTTTAATAATTAAATTTAAATAAAGACTTTAAACAGTTTATCCCATCCTCTCCATAGGTCAAGATGTATGGCTATACTTTATGTAAAAACAAAGTCACGTTGTTCTCATATATATAGCAAGAATAAATCAAATTAAATTTCACCGTATATTGCCGTTGTTTCACCACAGGTCATGAATGTATCTGATTGTATCTAGTCATAACTGCTCGACACTTGTGACATCTACGGGATTACTCTTTCTAATATCCGTAAAATCTAAATATTAATAACTTAGTAAAAAAGGTTTATACATTTATTATTAGTTAACAGATTCATCTTTGGGACAGCATCATTGTATTTACTTATACATAAATTGGTTGCATCAGCACTCATTGATTTGTCTTAGTTATTTGGCCTAGAACGTATTTGACTCTGTATATGCCACTATACTAAACGCTATTCTTAAGACGCTGAGTAAATCTTATAGCATTCGTGATGTTTGCATAAATCTGAATGACTAATCAGATATTGTAACGAGGTGTTACTGGATTGGTGCATAGTGAGTGTAATGTTTGCATAAATCTGAATGATAATCAGATATTGTAACGAGGTGTTACTGGATTGGTGCATAGTGAGTGTAATGTTTGCATAAATCTGAATGAGTAACGAGATAATGCTAACATTGTACCTATGCGTTAGTGGATTGGTGCATAGTAGGTGAGACCTTTGCCGAATTCAGAATAAATAATGATATATTGCTATCATCGTACCCCGACGTTAGTGCAGTTGAATATAGCGAGAATGTTTTAGGCTCTTTCAACTGTTCTAATTACATATCGTTTTTATGTGCGCACTATGCTTTGCGTTATGTTTCAGAGTTGTGCTCACCAATGAATCCTTCTTAAAATCGGTGAGCAGCACTTATTAAAACAGCCGGGGATTGACAATTTGAAATGGGGCTGACAATTTGAAATGGAGAGCGGCATTTGGGATCTATTCAGACATATATAAATTGTGCGTTGGCCCGTTATATTGATATGTTGATGTGTTGTGTTGTGCATTTTGTGTGTACAACTTTAATTTTACAAAATTAACTTACATTAAATATAATATGAATTCATATCTGTTTTATAGATAAATTACTATTTACGATAACGTTTTCTTTAACTGATCAGGTAAGTATAATGGATATCTCTAATATTTTCCTTTCCGAATGTAACATTCATCTAAAGTGTAGATGTCACGAATGACACGTATATGCAATAGCGCGTAAATTTTGGATTACAACGCTGAAGCTTTGAGTTGAATGTTATATTGCTGCATACATTAGTAGATATATAACCTTGGTGTAATCAATACATTTGCCATGCTGTAAAACTATCTACTGTCCCATTTCTCATGATTAAATCTCTTTTTTTATATGCTGCGAAAACGTTAAATGAGTTGAAAATTCCCGAGTGGCGTGGCGCAAGACAATTCCAAGATTCATTGTCTATGGCAGACTGATCATATTTGAGATTGCACTTTCTTGATATGTAAAGCTGATCAAGATTTATTTTTTGTTTCTTTGGGGGGGCTTGGACCGAGAATAAAGTACATATAACAGTTTTGACCTTGACACTTATAAAACACATATTTACGGGCATAGTATCCGTTGAGATGTTCAGTGTTTCAGTGACGACAGGTTGGATAGATATATAAGTGAAACGTACGTTACTAACAACACTAATGGTTTGATAGTAATAAAGTCTAATAACGTTATAAAGAGGCTCGAGGAGATTGCGTCATTGATTGTATTATCAGTAATTCCAATACGTCACATAAAAAACGTAGATGGGTATTGAACGTATCTAACAATCGTCGCGCTGCGCATGTGCGACATTTGTGTTGATAAACATTGATTTTTCCACAATCCAATGCGCTCTTTTAACGGAAATCACAAGTATGAGGTTTGACATGGACGCGACTTGCACTAATTACCGCCGGTGACTCATTTGATACCTTCCATTCACCTAAAAAAATAGCTAATTAAAGCTCGGTAACGTCTCAGTTTGTACTCGTTGATCTGCGCAACAGTCAAAGTCGCCATCTTTGTTTATATGAGACCCATATATCTCGCGCATGCGTAGCGCGACGACTATCTTTAAAGTGTAACGACGTTGTATTAAAATAACAAAGTAATTTACGCGCGTTGTATACCAATTAAAGTTAGCAATAACATAACTCCAAGTAAATGTTTAATCAATAATAATATTAGTACAGGACATTAGGTAGAAAGCACAGAACTGTTGTATCTGCTGAAGAAAATCAGCTTGCATGTTGACATTGACTGTGACTAGAGTTTCTTAATTACTAATTATTAATTACAACATCAGTATAATCGTGAAATACGTTGACATTGAACTTCTTGCTTCAATTATACATTATTACATCCACGTTGCGACTACACAGAATGTCATTTAATTAGCCGGCCTTATCACTTACTGAGTCACAATTGTCCGCATCCCCAGCGTAAATCTGACACAGGGAAATAATATAATCACCCCGATCATGATGTCGAATTTAGAACGCCATATAAGAATCACTCGGTAACGACCACAGAATGGATTGAGCTAGGCGAATATTTATATACTTAAATGTTTTTTAAACAGTACAGTAAACAGTAAACCTCTAAACAGTAAAAACATCACACATACTCTCGTCAATATAAAAAACTATTTTTGCAGGGGTTTATTATTGTAACTGTAAATTCACTCGGAGGGATCTACTGATGATTAAAGTAAATACAACCTTGGTATATATGGTCGACTTTATCTTTATTTGCTTGAGGCGAATAGCATTGTGATGGGATTTATCCCCACGTTACAACTAATGAGTCGTTTTCTGAGTAGAATTGTCTACGAGCGCGGAATAGAAAGAGCCTGCAGATTAGAAAGTCAGTAATTATAAACCGATTTATAACAGACTAGTCAGTTGGATGCATTTTCACTTTATTTTTGGTTACTCCTGTGTCTGAAAGTACATGTACCTTTTTACGACATAAAAAGCGCGGTAAAATTGCATGTCGTAATTTATTGCTTTTTTACAGGCTCTGCACATGATCCAGAAGTGTTCATATTAAGTTTGTTATGTGACCATTTGATTATTTGTCTTCGACGGCAATTTAGAAACGTTTGTAGTATACCATTGCCCAATAAGTGTATATTATTATTAAACTTCATTTCCAGATTAAAATTGTGTTACCTTATTTTGTGACGCGATTTTTCATGATAAAATACTGGTGACTGACAGTTACCCTTTACTTGCCGCCTGTTGTTTTTCGAGGTCGGCTGAAGTGAAGAACAAAAATTCGAAGGAGATTTTTCTCGGTATCGGACTAAAGTGAGGATAATAACTGCATACTGTTGCTACTCGTGCCAAATAAAAAAATAACGCGTCAGAAGTCGGTGACACGCACTTTACTGGCGCGTCCACTTCGTTGTATCGTCTAACCAACGCGCGCGTGATGGTCGCTACGCGCCCACTAGTTTTCTCAAAGCGCTACCTAATAAAAGCTTGAAGACTGAAACATGTTAACAGCAATTTTGTGAAAATCGACATTTATATGCACTTCAAGGTGACGGATAAAATATTTATGAATATATTAAAGCGGGG